TATGCTCTGGATCATCAGGAAGACTCCCTCCCGCCTCAGAAAGGACAGCCGGAGGAGCTGTTGCCTCCGGCCTTGGTAAGGATTGTTCAGGGTCATTCTTCGATTGACCTCCTCCAGACGCTCTTCCAGCAGAAAAACCCCCGGGAGAAGACTAATACATACTTGCAGAAATTAAAGTCTCAAAACGACGACGCCGAGCTTGGACAGCTGCGACGTCGACGCGGCTGCCATCGGGACGATTACCCACAGACTCGGCCGAGCGAGTCGGGGCAGCTTGATTCCTATCCGTCAGAATAGCGATAGCCAGTTGCTGAACCAAGATCCCAGGAGATCAAATTTGAGATCTTGAACAAAGTGTAGGTCCCCAGGGAGACTTTCAAACAACCTTCGACGGCCCGATCTCGTGAGGAGCTTCCGAACTGTCAGGAGAAGGGCTTCTTCTTCTCACCTCTGAAAAACAAAAATATGTAATCAGAGGAAAAAGGCGAATATCGAAGTCAAAAGAGAACAGAACTTACTGCGGCAAGCACCCAGTGGACGAAGTGGATTCTCCAAAGCAATGGGCTCGGCGCGACCTTGTCCCGGAGGAATAACAAGAGCAGCTTAAATAAACTGCACCGTGAAGGTAAACCAACGAGTCTGACCTCGACGTAAAGTCTCCATCAGACCTCAAAGCCCGGGGGTCATCGGAGCTCTCCCGAAAATTTTTATACCAAAAAGAAGAAAAAGAGTGAACTTTAGAAGGTTATATAAACACATAAACGATTTTAACCTCCATAAGGAGAAAACAGACCTATATCTTTTGACCAGGTCCGAGGAATCCGACTGAAGTCAAAATCGCCAACTGAGGCCGAGTTTATCTTAAACACGAAAAAATTGTCTCTCCATTTATCATCATTAATAGAATACCCTCAATGATGGTACGACCATTTCGAGGAGAAAGAAGCATGGTGCCAGGAAAGAGCGTATTATTCTTGACCGCACAAAGCTGTCGAACCCATAAACCCAAAAAGTTGCGAAGGAAGTTAGGGCACATACGGGTAAAATCCATTTCCATCCTGGCTAGCACCTCAAGGAGAAACGAGGGGAGTGGGAACGATAGACCACAATCTCGGAAATGTGTCAGATATGCCCCGCAATATCCATCACGAACGTTTTCTGGAGTCTCATCGGGTTCCGCGATGTTGAGTTCCACACTGTAGGGAACTCCCCAATGATTGTAGATGCCTTCGAGATTCTTTCCTTCGAGAATAGTAGGAAGATGAGGACCAAATCTGTCGTTTGCCATCGGTTTATCGAGAATTAAAATCAAAGAAAGGAAAAGAAAGGATATGTGGAAATTTTGGAAACTAGTCTTCTCGATGAAGAAGATGACCTATTTAATAAAATCTGATAGCAGGTCCCGAAGCAGATGACGTCGACAATCAACCTGCCACACGATGAGAGGAAGTGGTCAACAAGGGAAATACACGTGGCGCCTCGCTCTCCGGGATACACGGCGACACCGGATGGTTGATTAATCGGTTCGCCTCTTCAGTGTCTCCAACTAAAAAGGCTGGGAGGCAAATGTTGGGCCCAAAATCGGGCCCATTAATTTTGGTTATGCGAGATCCATTGAACGCTAAAGATAGGTGCCGATCAAGCGAGCCTGCAAAGAGCTCATAGTGTAAGACGAGAACGAATGCTGGATCTGATGGCNCGACACCGGATGGTTGATTAATCGGTTCGCCTCTTCAGTGTCTCCAACTAAAAAGGCTGGGAGGCAAATGTTGGGCCCAAAATCGGGCCCATTAATTTTGGTTATGCGAGATCCATTGAACGCTAAAGATAGGTGCCGATCAAGCGAGCCTGCAAAGAGCTCATAGTGTAAGACGAGAACGAATGCTGGATCTGATGGCCGTAATAGGGCCCAGGCCCATGTCATATCATCGCTTCGAGGTCAATGAGCACGATGAGCTCGAAGCAAGACCCTGAAGATCGCGGAAGCAGTTAGAAGAGAGGAGGGCTAGAAAGGGGAGCTAGAACGGAGCACGAGGGGACACGAAAAAAGCCTAGAGCAAACTACTATTCACATCGACCTCACATCATAGACTTGTAGTTCGCATATAGTTTTCATCTTTCATTGTTATTCTTGATCTTGTTTATCACTTTGTACCAAATTCCGTATTCAATAAAGTCCATTTTTGTCAACCGAATTCTGATTGTATCGTTGTGTTTTAAGAGCATCATTGCCCACATCATTTGTCTTCTCTCTGATTAAACTCTTGATCACTACAAAATACTTAGGGTGGAGTTTAGGATCTACAGTTACCAAACCCTAAACCAAAGAATATCATGACTAACTTACATTCACTCATCTATGTTGAAAACAATTCAATTTTATTTAGTCTAAATTTATATTACTTACAACTGTCTATAATTAAATGATTATGATTTTTCCCCTATCAAAATTTGCTTATGAAATTTATAAATTATTTTTAAGATCTACAGCATGAGAAGACTTCCAAGTAAGTATTCTCTTGAGAAGACTTACCTAAAAGTCGTCTCGCTCGTAAGGTTATAATGGTAAAATACAATCCTATTTTTTTTGTTTGGTCATGAGGGAATGTTTGTAATTTTACTAGTCCTTTGAGTTAAGTTTGCATTTTATTTGAGTTTGAGTACACTTTTGCTTTTCAAATCAAGTTTTGAGTCATATTTGAAAAACTTCCATGACAGTCTTCTCTAAAAACACACAGAAAGTCAGTTTCAAAACAAACATATCCTTTGACCAGAAGATTTACAAAGACTTACTCGTAAGGCTTCTAGAGAACAAATATGAGAAAAAAATTCAATTCATACCTTCAAACCCTGAGAAAACTTGCTTAGTTTTCTAAGAAAACACAACTTCACCAGAATATCTACTCAATCGTTAATGACCAGAAATCGTGAATTTGGATGGCTATATGACCCTCAAAAACTTCAGAATCAAAAAGCTTGAATTTTTCGGATGAATATAGCTAGAAAATGAGAGAGGTGTAGTTTTTGGGAATAAGTTATGAGAATGAATGAGTAAATTTCGTTTTTAGATGCATTAAGAGCTTCATTTTGGTTGTTCATGGTTGTTGAGTGAATTGATAATAGTGGTATTTTAATTAATTGATGAAGATGAGGATGAGGATGAGAGCATAAAACAGTCATGTCAACAAAAAATAAAAATAAAAATAATGACATTTTTGTAAATATGGGAGTTTTGAGTCACTTTGCAACAAGCCCCATAATTTTTATGTTTGATTTTATACATGACAATTGAGTATATATTAATGCATGATAATAGTTCATTGCTAATTATAAACTTAGTTAAAATATTTATATATTTATATTAAAATGAAAAGATATCATGATTAAAATATTTACAAATACATGTTATTTTTTATATATGTATTATATAGTTTTTCAATGTTAACCCATGTTACCAACATATTATATTTTGAACATAATACTTCTGAAAATAAAATATATAAATTTAATAATCTACTATAATTTATCATATCTTGTTAAAAAATTTATTCTACATTTTATAAAATATATTAATGTATAGTAATATTTTAAAACTAATTACGAATTATTAAAATATTTACACAGAATTTTTGAATATTAAGATCTTGTTAAAATCTTATAAACAAATTTGTTAGGTTCTTCTAAAAAAATATAAATATATTTAAACTAAAAAGATATCCAAATATATTATGATTAAAGTAGTTAAAAAGATGATCCAAATTAAAAAAATCACATATGAAAGAAGTCATGATTTCTATTTTAGTAGAGAAGATGTTTATACAATCATTATATATACATTAGTGGAATTATTTAAATTGGTTCATATTTTATTTTGAATTATATGATGGTTTAAATTACCATTATGTATAATTTATTAAAGAATAAAATATGTGTTTGTTAATTAATCCGGTATCATAGAAGTTGACTGTTATATTAGGAATGAAATATTATTAAATCATATTATTAAGAATATATGAAAAATAACTAATTTTTTGGTGAGAGTTTATTTTCTAAAATTTTACACATAAATAAAGGTTGTGTTTTATGTTTTNAATTACCATTATGTATAATTTATTAAAGAATAAAATATGTGTTTGTTAATTAATCCGGTATCATAGAAGTTGACTGTTATATTAGGAATGAAATATTATTAAATCATATTATTAAGAATATATGAAAAATAACTAATTTTTTGGTGAGAGTTTATTTTCTAAAATTTTACACATAAATAAAGGTTGTGTTTTATGTTTTAATATATAAGATTGATCAAATGCTTTAAAATGACTATATTTTAAAATAGCTGATTCAACTATTACGTCTTTTAAAATAAAAATTATACTTTCGCAAATGAATTTATCCGAGGAAAAAAACTATATATTTGAAAGACTCATATTTATAAATTTAAGAGTTAAGACATTCAAATTGAGGATAATTGGTTGTTCTTTTTGGAACATCACATTTAAACACTTCCATGAATAAAAAAATGTGATTTTTATTATTTTATTAAAAATCAAAAATATAAAAAATTCATTTTCTTGTAAACTAGAGAAGAGAAAAACGAAATACAAAATTTAATTTGTTTGTTGATTATATAGATATGAATAAGAAAGTACATTAGAACAATAAAGAAATTACAATAATATATTCTTGAAATTTAGGTTCATTTTCCATAACCAAGAAGCCGTGAATTAACTTGGCAAAAAAAAAAACAAATACCATATGTCTCATTCATGTCTTATGATTCTGATTTTGTTTGTTATATATCTCGTTATTTATAATAAACTTACATTAGATGGAAAAACACATATAGTATGTACGTACTATATACTCCAATATGCTATCACTCAAAAAATTCCCAAAACATGTATATCACATATCGTTTAACTTACCTCCACATCGAAACAATTTATAAAAAATTAGACAAACAAATACAAAGTAATTAATTAGTCGTAACAATAAAGTTATGGAGTTAAAATAGTGTTGATGAGAAGAGCGTCTTTGCAAAGCTTCAAGAAGTTAGTGTTTCTACGAGCAAGCTCAGCATCATTACCAGCACGTTCACTCAAAGCATCTTCACAAGCTTCTCCATCGCTAATCGCTGTATTGAGCCAAATATCAACGTCAATGTACGCATTCGAGAGCAAAGCGGCTAGAGAATCGTCTAGCTGTGCGACTGCGTCTAAGTAATTCTTTGAACAATCGTCGAGCGTGTCTTCCAACGCAGGCTCCAGGTTCTTCTGTTTAAGTTTTGATTTGATGTAGAAAGACGTATCGGAAGCGTTTGTAGACGCAACGCTTAACGCGATCACTCCTAGTTTAGGTGCGGTTGCGGTTTCTGATTCGTGACGCGAGGTTAGGCTCGAAACGCAAAACGCTTTGTCTTCGGATCTCTCGCAGAGTTTTTCTGCTAAAGCTTTGCCAGTCTCGGTGAATGTTGGTGGTGGAGCTTTTCCTGCGATGACCACCGTGACGACGATGGAGAGGAAAAGGAGAAAGATCCTTCCGACCATTTTCATATTTTTCTTTTTGGGTATGGTTTTCTTATTTTCTCTCTTCTCGTAAGTATTAACAAGAACAATCAAAATGGGATTTGGTTATTTAAAGAGCTTTAAAAGGTATTTTGGGTTATTCTATATTTATGGTTTTCTTTCTGCTTCCTCTAATCTATTTTTAGGTTTTTGCCATGCAACCATGTTTCTTATTTTGGTTTCGGATACAAGAGGGAAAGTCAACGCATGTTTGAAGTCAATTAAGGAGAGTTCTAAACTTTGGTATGTAGCATAAAAATAATTAAAAATATATATTTTTGTACAATGAATATCACAAATAACTAATTTATTAAAACATAGTCTTATTTGAAATTTACCATGATATGTTTAAAATTTGGACCTATTAAACATATTGTGTCTAAATATCAAATAAAGCTACATATATATAAAATTTTATATGGTAACCACTATGCTTAAATTAAACCAATCAACAATTCATTCAACTGAAACTGAAATGCTAAAACAAAAGCAAAAACCCTAGAGAGAGAGGCGATGGCGATTGGCGGCTCCTGAGATCAAAGTCTCACCTGAGATTTTGTTCTTCTTCTAATCTACGTCCATCGACGTTCTGATCACCTTCACAATCCTACAGCTCCATCTGTTTCTGCATTCAATCTCAATTCAATACGTCCATCGAAGAGAAATGACGATTTGAAGGGTGTAGAGTTTGAAGGCCGTGTATCTGCTTGGATCACTCGTCAGTGATCAGACATATACCTTAAACGCTAGGGTGATTTTTGTCATCTGGCTTCCGTTCATAAACGCTTCAACAGACGGTACTGTATCGCCTGAGGTTCCTCTGTGTCGTCTCCTTGACATAACAGGGGATCTATTTTTATTTTCAGAGATCCTTCGAATGGGATCTATGCATCGAAAAAATTCTGCTCATATGGCAGTTATTAAGGGTAAAGGCATTCTCTACGAGAATGATGATGCTCCGATCAAATTAACGAATCAAGATGATTCTTTTGCTATAAAGGAGCATCGACTGTCTTTGATCGGGAAGGTGCTAAACCCTAAAAAACAAAGCGTAGTCAAGCTGATCCAGACGATGCCGGCTCAATGGGGTATGCAAGATCGGATCACAGCCAACGATTTGGGGAATGGGAAGTTCCTTTTGAATTTCACCTCTGAAGATGACCTTAATTATGTCTTGCGCCAAGGCCCCTTTCACTACAATTTCTGGATGTTTGTGCTAGTACATTGGGAACTCATTGTCCACGATGACTACCCTTGAATCATCCCCTTTTGGGTCTCTATAGTTGGATTGCCATTACATCTGTGGACCGATAAAAACTTAAGACTCATAGGAGACAGAATTGGACATGTGGATACCATGGAGCTTACTGAAGCTAGAATGTTTATTGACATTGATACCAGGAAACCTTTGAAGTTCAAACGACAGGTACAGTCTCCAGAGGGGGATGAGGTTTCCGTTGAAATCCAATATGACAAACTGTTTAAACACTGTCGAACTTGTGGTCTCATGACACATGAAAAAGGCCATTGCCTTTTGGAATCTCATAGCAATATACAAGCTGGGAGAGGAGATGTTTTCTCTCAAGTACATGCTCCACAATCATTGAGCCAATCGCAGGCAGTGAGCACTCGGAACAATGCATCGTTCATGTCTCGTTAGCAGGTGTGGAACGATGAAGAGAGGGGACACCACCCCACTGGATATTTTTCTAGTAACTGAAGCAGAGTTGAGAAGGAGAGTAGGCAAGGGAGCAGAGAGGCTACAAACTGATATAGCTTGTATAAAGATAGGATCATTCGAGGGAGGAGGAGCAGGCCTGATGAACATCGACATGAAAGAGGTCCTTATGCACGTAGATCATAACATGTTTGGAGGGAGAAGAGAGGGACACAAGCAAAACAGAGAACACGTCCACCTACGCCACCTAAACATCACGATGTTGTTCCATATGATCAACATGATTCTAATGATGCTTCGAGTGCGTCTTGATCACATAGAGATATGAGGAATTCGAGTGATCAAACAACAAGACGCCTAGCGAGTGCCATTGTCTCGCCCACAAGGTCCATGCACGCTCTCGATAGCAATGTAACTGTACGTGCGAAGGGAGCTACGCGAGCTCTAACGTTCTCCCCGCAATCTCTTCAAGCTGACATCAACGCTTGAGAGAATGATCAGATGATTGATGCTCTAAATGACACGGATCCTGCGGCTCAACCAACAAGTGAGATGGTCGAAAGCGATGATCAAGGTGATGATTTGTTCGGTGAGGAACTCATGGCTTTACAAGAGGAAGAGGTTCGTGCTGCGTTAGATAAATCCAGAGCTAAGGGACAAATAAGTGAGGTCAAATCTTCACGGGAAAGGACTCGTTTGACTGCTCCGTTGGGCATACAAACAAAGAAATCTGAGTTTCTTCGTCGTGGATCACCAAGGGCTCGAGTCGCAATGTCTCCTGGTCCAAGAGATGGTGAGAAGAAAGCTGAAAAGAAAATCAGTCATGGACATGGGGGAAGGAGTAGAAGACATGGCGCAATTAAGAAGGATGGTTTGATGGGTTCCAAAAACCCATCAAAGGAGTATCCATGAGGACAATCAGTTGGAACTGTCGAGGGATTGGAAATGACCTCACAGTTTGACGCCTTACGGAGATGTGTCAGAAGCAGCCCAGGACTTATGTTTCTTTCTGAGACGAAGAATAGGAGGCTGTTGTTGCAAGACATTCAGGCCGACTTAGGATTTGATCGTTTGTTTACCGTTGAGCCACTTGGACTCAGTGGAGGTTTAGCTTTGTTTTTTATGGATGATTTTCAAGTTAAGATTTTATTTTCAAATAACAGAATGATTGACATTGAGGCAATCATTGATGGAATAAAATTTTATATGACGTTTGTTTATAGAGATCATGTATTATACGTAGGGAATTAGTTTGGGAACATCTTACGTGTTTCTCAACAACACGAAATGGACCATGGTTCATGATTGGTGACTTTAATGAGATTACATGCCACGAAGAGAAAGTAGGAGGTCGCGAACGACCAGACAGCTCATTTTTGCCTTTCAGGCAAATGCTGAGTGATCGTGGGATGCTGGATTTACCCTTTATAGGGAACATGCTATCATGGGCTTGAAAAAGAGCAGGGAGAGTCACGGTTAGATTCCGCCTGGACAGAGCTGTTGGTAATGAGGACTGGCATGACAAATTCCCTCACTCGAAGGTACAGTATATGAGGATGTGGGGATCGGATCATCGTCCAATCTTAGCTGATATTCTTAAAAAACGGCCACGAAGATCAAAAAATTTTAAATTTGATAAGCGATGGCTGGACAATGAGGAACTAAGGAAAGTAATCCTGGAGGGATGGAAATCACCAGACCTTCCACCAGAAGCTAGTATTTATCACTACAAGAAAACTAAGCCTTTACTAGGAAACTTTACTAGGAAAATAATTTCTCGTAAAAATACTACTAGTTTACTTCGTGTTTACGAGGAAACCACTTTTCCTCGTAAAGTTCTCGTATACTTACGAGAAAACAGTTTCCTCGTAAACTCCGTAGTAGCCTTACGTGGCCCTTACGAGGAAAAGAACTTTTTCCTCGTAAACTCATAGTAATTCCTTTCCTCGTAAAGTCCTAGTAATAATTTGCTACGAAATTAGGAGGAAAGGATTTATTACTACGAAATTAAGAGGAATTGGATAGAAAATATCGAATTTAAATCAAAAACGTGTTTTGTACCTACTTTTCCTAGCAATTTCCTAGTAAATTCTCAGATTCAAAAATTTCTATAAATACCACCATATGTGATTCATTTGAAACACACCAAAAAAAAATCAGCTATAAGCTTGATCAAACACAAAAAAAAATGTCCGGTCCGGGAAATATTTTTCGAGTTGCGGAAGTGGATGTATTCACACAGAGATAATAAGGGGAGGGTGACGAAAGAATTTCTCGAAGGGTTGGAGACGTTTATGCATCAAGCAGATTCTACACCACTCACGCAGGAAAGTGGTAAGATATTATGTCCTTGTCGGAAATGTTGCAATACCAAATTAGGCCCTCGTGAAAATGTTTGGAAACATTTAATAAATAGAGGTTTCATGCCATATTATTATATTTGGTATCAACATGGAGAAGATGCTAGTTGTAGGAATGAAGGTAACAGTAGTAATAGCAATTTTCAGATTGAACCGGTTGAGCATTTTCGTAATGAAGGTAGCAGTAGTAATAGCTATCATCACCAAGAGGAACAAATGGTAGATTGTGATAGGGTTCATGATATGGTAGGTGATGCCTTTGTAACTCATGATGATGATGAAGTTGAAGAACCTAACTTAGATGCAAAAAAGTTTTATGAAATGTTGGATGCTGCGAATGAGCCAATTTACAGTGGTTGTAGAGAAGGTCTGTCTAAATTTTCGTTGGCTGCTAGAATGATGAGTATTAAAACCGATCACAATCTACCTGAAAATTGTATGGATGCATGGACAGACTTGTTTAAAGAGTATTTGCCAGAAGACAATGTGTTTGCTGAATCTTATTATCAGATTCAGAAATTGGTATATAGTCTTGGGTTGCCCACGGAGATGATAGACGTTTGCATCGACAACTGCATGATTTACTGGGGAGATGGTGAGAAGTTAGAAGAATGTCGATTTTGTAAGAAGCCACGATTCAAACCGCAAGGTCGAGGGCGTAATAGGGTACCGTACCAAAGGATGTGGTACCTACCAATCACAGACAGATTGAAAAGATTGTACCAATCTGAGGAGACTGCTGGAGGGATGAGATGGCACGCCGAGCATACTCAGACGGATGGAGAGATGACTCATNGTTAGAAGAATGTCGATTTTGTAAGAAGCCACGATTCAAACCGCAAGGTCGAGGGCGTAATAGGGTACCGTACCAAAGGATGTGGTACCTACCAATCACAGACAGATTGAAAAGATTGTACCAATCTGAGGAGACTGCTGGAGGGATG